TCTAGGATAAGAGAGCTCTACCAATACTGCATCATAATTTGAAGTAGCTGTACTTGTAGCCTCAAGGTGTCTTTACTCAATCACTTATTTTACAGAGGAGTACGCTACTAATAATTTAGGCTAATCAGTAGTATATGTTGATTTTTAATCCTATTGGTCTCTATGGTAACCTTATTTCAGAAGTACATCATGTGATTCTGTGATGTTTCTTCTTTAAACCCTTTGATGGCCAGTAAATTAAATTTATTTACAATCTACTTGTAACAGAGAAAAAGTAAAAGACGGAAGACAGCCAAAATACAAATCTAAAATATAATTTCAAACAAATATTTTGAAAAACTGTTTGGCTCATCCTTTTTCTAATTAAACAGTGGGCAATATAATTACTTTTAAAAATTTTTACTTTTCAATTCCTTCAAAAGTGAATTATGGCTTTTTAAATTAAAACAAATTTAAGACCAATTCATAGACATTTAAAGAAAAAACAAATAAACAAATAAATAAATTAATAATACATGCTCCACTAAAGGTTTTACTAAAAAGAAAATAAAATATAAATTATGCATATATGTTGGCTTGAAAAGTTCACCGGAGATGACTGCAGTTATCCCTCCCAGTTTTCTCCCAGTAATGCCTGAGGCAGAACTCCTGCCTGTTTTCCTAAGTCCTGACAGAAAGCCTAGGTACTTTTCTGTTCTGTTTGCTCTAAATTGTTCAACAATAATGGAACAGTAGAAAAGAGTCTGAAAAAACTGAGCATCGCAGGCTATTTAGAATACTTTCTCTGATGGACAAAGAAGGATGTTGTACTGGTAATATCTAAAGGAAAATAAAAAATTATCAAAAAAACCCACCAAACCAAACAAACAAAAAACGATCAAAAAAACCTTCCAAAAAACCCAAACCAAACCAAATAATAAAAAACTCCCAACAAAACTATCCCCCAAAAAACATCCAAACAAAACAAAACAGAACAAAAAGAAGCAACAAAAAACCTAGAAAAAAAATCTTTCATAGTTAGCTATAGTGAAAGGCTTTGCAGCAGAAAGAGCAATTATTTTTATTTATATATTTTTTTTAAGTAAAATAGATTCTTTTCAGATATAAAAACAAAATTTCACACACGGACTCTGATTGCAGTATAGTGGGGTCATGGGGACTAACAGACCTCTGGTACACATAGTACTGAATATTTATTAGTAATTTTTACAGAATCAGAGGAAGTTGCTTCATCTGATTGGATTGAGGTTATTTCCATTTGTTCTGATACAGTCTTCCTGAGAGAACTTAGGTTAATGTTTAGAATGCAGAAATATTATCCAGTATCTGCATCAGCATTATTTTTTTTTTTTATTTTTTTTCTTTCTGAATGTCAGCCATTTTATAAAACTAAAATGAAATAATTAATAATTTTGATATTTAGACCTGTTATGCTTGGCTATTGAAGTTTCCTGAAGAATTCTTATTTTCTAAAAATAAAATATGCTGTTCCAAGTATTTTGTAAGATATAGATATTACACTAATCAATATAATTTTTAAAGCGTGACAAAACACTTACAGGGTCATTTTTTCTTTAAAATTGAAACCAAAATATCTATGATACAGAAGGAATTTTTCCACTTTATGATGTTTTTGTAACAAGACAAGTGCTCTCTTACATGTGTTTTTAGTGTTTTTTCTTTAGTTACACTACATGTTGCCTTCAGGCTGTACAACAATGCACCTAATCGTAGTATCAACCTGCAGGATGCATATGTACTGACCACGTGAGCTCTAAAAACACTAAGAGACTGAGAGACAGAATAATCAAGAAAAATAAACACTAGAAGAAGTGAGTTTTTATCCCTGAATTTGACGCTGAGTTTCATGGAGCCTTGTCCATATTTCAGGTTCCTTGTATAAAAAACAGAAGACATAGTAATTAATCAACACTATATATTACAATACTATATGTAATGCCAAAGTATTCTGAATTGAATTGGCTAATACATGTTAAAACATTTGAAATGCAGTTGCAAATGCAGAGACATTTGTAGTGCATGGAGTAACATCAGACTGGCATCCAGTCACTAGTAGGATTCTGCAGGGCTCCATCTCAGTTATCCTCAACATCTACATTAAGGATGCAGGACTCAAAGCAATACTAAGTAAGTCTGCTGATAACACTAGATGGGAGGAACTGTCAACTCCCTTGAGGGCAGAGATGGCTTGCAGAGAGACCTCAACAAACTAGAGAAATGGGCAATCGCCAACTGTATAAAGTTTAACAAGGGCAAGTGCCGGATTCTGCTCCTGGGACAGGGCAACCCTGGTTTTGTGTGTAGACTGGGGAATGAGAGGCTGTAGAGAAGCACTGCAGAAAGAAACCTGGGAATACTGGTCAATGGCAAGTTGGTTATGAGTCAGCAGTGCTCTGTCAGTCAGGAGGGCCAACGGTGTCCTGGGGAGCATCAGGCAAAGAATCCCCCGCCGTTCGAGAGAGGGGATTGTCCCTCTCTGCTCTGCACTGGTGTGGCCTCACCTTGAATATTGTGTGCAGTTTTGGTCACTGCAATGTAAGAAAGACATTAAGCTATTAGGGAGGGTCCAAAAGAGGGTGATGAGGATGGAGAAGAAAGAGTCTGAAGGGGAAGTCTTATGAGGAGCGGCTAAGATCACTTGGTTTGTTCAGCCTGGAGGAGACTGAGGGGAGACCTCATTGTGGTCTTCAACATCCTCATGAGGAGAAGTGGAGGGGCAAGTACTGATCTCTTCACTCTCATGACCAGTGACAGGACTTGAGGAAATGGCATGAAGCTGAGTCGGGGAGATTTAGGTTGGATATCAGGAAAAAGTTTTTCATGCAGAGGGTGGTTAGGCATTGGAACAGGCTCTCCAGGGAAGTGATCACAGCACCAAGCTTGTCTGAGTTGAAGAAGCATTTGGACTACAGTTTCAGGCATGTGGTGTGATTCCTGGGGTGTCCTGTGCAGGGCCAGGAGTTAGACTCGAAGATCCTGATGGATTCATTCCCACTCAGCATGTCCTATGATTCAGATATAAAACGGCTCATTATGCTTATTAAATTCAGTCCATGGTGGCGTAGAGCCATGTAACATACAGTTTGGAAGTCAGTATTTCATACATGCTATAAATCCATGAATATGACCCCACATCCTGTGGCAGACAACTCTTATAAGCATATAAAACAGAAGCAAAATCTATAACACACTTCAGGAACAGAGCACAATCCTAGGAATCAACTATGTGCATTATTCTACAGGGAAATGCAAAATCTGGTAGTTCAATGGAGGGAGACTGGTTTCATTTGGTTTGTAGTCTTAAACTTTAGTATGTGAGAAATTCACACAGTTAATCAGTTTAAAGATTAACCACCTACAAACCCATGATAAATCCTATAGGAATTATTCTAAGATATGTCTCTGCAGTCAGCCGCCAGTACTAAAAAAAGATGCAATAGTAATTGTCTCATAAACAAATATATATAGATACTGAAAACACCATCAATTATATCTATGTCACTCTATAAAATTCTGGCATTTGTGAGGCTATCCAGGTTCTAAAATATTTCAAGTGATAGCAGTTCCAGTGATCTATTTAACCTTTCTTTCTGTTAGACCTTTTTTCCTGAAAAAAAATCCAGTTCTCCCTTGTTGTCATTTAATGCCATCGTTACTGCTCTTCTACAACTTTTATGTAGTCAAAGACCATCATCATGTTTCTAAACCTAACAAACCTATTCTCTTCAACCTTACTCATAGCCATGTTTCCAGGAACTATTTTCACACTTGTTACTATTTCATGGGTTATCACAAATTGAATCAAACCAAGATGCTTAAAGCTGGAGATAATATTCCAGCTGAGACTTTCCTAGCACTTAGGGGAGAAAACTGTGGCTTCAGGGGTTTTTTTGCAGGTAACAGTCCAGTTCTTATCTCATTAAGTTAAATGAGTTTTCATCATTAGTGTGATATTGTTGATTAATATTCGCTGTGACTGTAATTCTATTCACCACCCTTTCAGCAATTTCCACAGTGCTGCTGCCTAGGCAGGTTTTCTGCACCCTGTCGTTGTGCAACCATTTACATCTAATCGTGTATTAAAACTCTCTATTTTTCCTTATTAGATTACATCCTAATTTCCCACACAATTTCTCATATTTGCCAAGATTATTGAGATATATATATCTGCTTTCCAATATTTTTTCACTTTGTCAAAATTTAGCTTTGTTGATGATTTTAATTATCTGGGTCCTTATTCCTTCACCTGATTTATCTAGTGCTACCAGACTTAACAGAACCCTATTTGATATATTCTACTTCAAGACTGTACTAGTCTCTGGAAAATATTTTTGCCAGTTAGGTGTTCACATCATAACAGTCTCATTTTCCTAGTTTTCTTGTGAGAATTCCATGTAATAATGGCAAAAGCTTGCTGCAATGAAATATGTGTTATTCAACACTTCCTTTCGATTCACGAAGTCTATTACTCTCTCACAGAAGGAAATTAGTTTGGTTTGATATGATCCAGTCTTCACAAATTCATGTTGGCTGTTAGTCTTCTTTTTATCCACCAGGTAGATAAATTTGAACATTTATTTTAGTCTATGTGTTCTACTATTTCTCCAGGAATGGATGAAAAGCTGGACGAAAAGCTGGACATGACCAACAGTGTGCACTTGCAGCCCAGGAAACCAATCGCATCCTGGGCTGCATCAAAAGCAGCATGACCAGCAGGTCAAGCGTGGTGGTTCCACCCCTCTACTTCACCTTTGTGAGAACCCCACCTGGAGTGTTGTGTCCAGCTCTGGGATGCTCAGCACAGAAGAACATAGACCTGTTGGAGCAGGTCCAGAGGAGGGCCACAAAAACAGAGGGATAGGAAATTCTCCTACGAAGACAGGCTGAGAAAGTTGGGACACCTCATTGCATCCTTCCAGTACCTAAAAGTGGCCTATAAAAAAAAGGGAGAGTGACTTTCTACATAGGCCGATAGTAACAGAACAAGGGGGGATGGCTTTTAACTAAAAGAGGAGATATTTATATTAGATATTAGGAAGAAATTTTTTACTCACAGGTTTCCCAGAGAAATTGTGGATGCCCTATCCCTTGAAGTGTCTGAGGACAAGTTGGATGAGCTTCTGAGCAACCTCATCTAGAGGAAAGTGTCCCTACCTATGGCAGGAGGCTTGGAACTAGATGACCTTTAAGGTCCGAAACCATTCTATGATTCTATGTTTCTATGACTGATGTTAACCTGATAGATCTATACTTTTCTGATTTCTGGTAAGTCTTATTTGTAAAGACGAATTGTCTTTGTGTTTTTCCAGTCCTCCATAATTTCTTCAGAAACTAAAGATACTTCTGACAGTTTAAGGATTTCATTAACATATCTTAGCATAAGTACTTCATCAGTTTTCACTCATTTTAATGGGAAATAATGTATCTAAATATGATGTCTAATGTCTCCATACCCTGTTATAATCTAACTTCCAATTCCTCTATTAATGATGTTAGTGACTTTTTAAAGAAAGACTGAATTGGAAAAGTTATCAGATTGCTTCCCTTACCAAAGTCATTGGTTGATAGTTTATAGTTGCTTTTCTCTTCTGCCCATCGGTAAGACGTCATTTCTTGGTCTTCCTCCTATAACAAGGTTTGGAATTATTGCTTTGTTTACATATTTGAAAATGATAAAAGTGTCACCGAATAACAATAACCAATATAGTGCTGGATTTGCAAAGCTGGAGTCGTTAAAAGTTTCAATAGTAACAATAGAAGAAAAAGAAATGTAAAGTGTCATTTGAAAATCAAGGCAACTTGGCAAGTGATACCTTTATCTAAAGGTTCTAATGGTGTCAGAATACCTGTATAACTCTCCAAAGAAAGAATATGACAGGACAGTAGCATGGGGGAATATCATACTCCCCCACACCCTGTGCATGAAGAGGCCTCTTGGAAAACCTGCAGAGGGCCAATGTCTGCTGATGCACCAGTACTTTTATTGCTACAGCAATGAGACACTTCTACTGCCTGTCACCTGTGAGCAAACATGTTCTTGAAAACCATCCCCAGCTGCATCTTGCGCTATGCTTCCATATTCACTGTCTATACTGACAGGAAATTCACCTCTGAAGGCAGCTTTGAAATGCCCCATGCAGAACGTAGTGGTACTCTTGGGACTGTGCATGTGAAAACCAATATAGTGTGCATCAATAATATCAATTTATTTTACTTTAAAAATAATTACAAACAGAGGGGAGCAGCAAAGATTATGTGCAGTATGGCATGAAACTGAAATTAAATGTTCTTGTTGCAGGAATTATTTGCCTAGTGTGAGGTGACCACCAACAACTGGTACTACTGTTGCTAGGAGCTGTCAAAAGAAATGTCACTCTTCACAGCAAGTGATGAAATTTGACATATGGCATCAAAGGATCATTAAAACTACACCTGCTGCAGAGGAGCTTGTGTCTTTTGGGAGACTTTCAAGCAGAAAAGGTTATTCCAAGAATGTAAAAGGGTATGCCTTATTTTCTTTATTTCTTAATAGGTAATTAAGAAGCAGTAAAAGTAAGAAAGATGGTCAGAAAAAGGATACAAAGATTCAGACTTCTTGCTTTTAAATGTTTTATGAAGAAAAAATAAGAAATTACCAAGAGCATTTCTTTATAGAATCCACAATAACACAGTCGATGATAAATCATTAATACCCATAGCTGGAAAGGTTCACCATCTTTTCACAAAGTTCAGTACTGTATTCTCCAGCTATTGCCTTAATGAAGCTGTTTCTCTGTTTTTGATAGCATTTTAAAATGTGAGTATTGAAGATTTTGGTCAGAAGCTTGAAAGAGTTTGATATTCAGTTCATCATACACACATTGAACTATGTGTAAGAAAATTACTGTTGACTTCAGTAGAAATGAGCACTTCACTTTCTGAGTTGCCACGGAATTTACGCTTTAGAAGAACTCTATTTCAAAGTAATGAAGATTTCTGTTGTAATTATACTTGTGATTTTATTCCTGAATTAGAATGGAATTTTCATATCTTCTTCTATATTTCAGCTCATATAGTTCTTATTCTTGTTTCAGACAAATAAATAAACAAACACATAAAACCTTGTTATTGCCTGTGCAGATTTCTTGGGAGTTATTGCTAGAAATTAATGCACATAGAAAGAGGATTCAAATAAAACTTTGCTAAAAAAATTATTTTTATAAATTTACAATGTACCCTTATTGGGAAGACTGAGAACCAAAACAGTTTGAAAATATATTAAAAAAAAAAAAAAGAAAGAAGAAAAGAAAAAAATAGTGTTTATGTGTATTTAGTGGTCAGACAGAAAAAAACCCTAAACTATTACTAATTATGTTGCTTCACTGAAATGGCTATAGTCACAAAATCTGGCATATTTTTGCCTCTTATCCTCTGCATTCTCCATAGATTAGATGTCTAGGGACTCCCAAACTGTGTTTTATTCCTAGCTCTGCCATAAGCTCCTAGGTAGCTGTGGCGACATCATTGCCTCTGCATTTCATTTTATCAGTCTTCAAAATAATGGGAGTGTTACTAAAAAAGTGTAAGGTATTACTATTGGTATTTCTATTTAATTCCTTTAATCTAATGTATTTTGAACCTTTCAATGGTTCAGCGGAGAATATTACATATGTTGACTCCTGTTAACATATACATTCTATAGTCACTGATGGACAATTCATAGATTCATAGAATCACAGAATATCTCAAGTTGGAAAGGACCATAAGGATCATCAAGTCCAATTCCATGCTCCTTGCACAAGCACAGCTTTACGTAACCATAAAAGATTTCAGTTTCATTTTAAATAATCTTAATTTTCAATTCTGACAATAAATGGGAAATATTAATACAGTTTTAAAAAACTGTGCAGAGCAAGTAGATGTGAAAGCTGCTGAACAATGTATCTGCTGAATCATCTATGACCCAAGATTTCAGTTTTTGGCACAGATTCCAACAAACCTTTTACCTCATTTATTTTTGTTGTAAAGGAAAGTGAGCTATCTTTATCAAGATGATTCAAAATCATGATTCATTATATAACATTCCTATCCACAGCCCTACAACTAAATAATGTTAAAACCACTAAGAAAAGAGTTGATTTGCACAATTCTGTTTTCTAACAAAGAAAACAAAGTTTGATTTTTTCCATTAATCTCTTTTAAGTGCTGTATTTCAGATAGTGACATTAAAAGAGGGGAAAGGGGGGCCTAGATGTTAGAATCAGAGCTTGCAAAGTCAATCTTCAGCTAGAACAGACAAGGATTTCTATAGAACTTTCTACTACGTTTTGTTCTGTTCTTCAGGAGACTAGAGAATAAGAAACGGAGTTTCTCAAATCTGAAGCAGTTTATCAAAAATCCAAGAGATATACAGATAATTTTGTCACAGTGGTGATAAAGGAAGTTTTAGCTTGATCTTTCTCTTTTGTAATAGGCAAATATAGAGCTACAGAAAGTGATTTGTTAATCATACTCTTGGAGCTAATTTACAATGAAGATGTGATCTTAAAAAACATGCATTTCAGTGACATGACTGGAATAGGAATGATATGGCTGGAAAAATACCACTAAACCTTTTTCAAATGATTTGAGAGAATATTCTGTCTGGGTTTAAATCCAGACACTGGGGAGGAATATATTAAAAAAATGCATAAAACTCAAAGTGCTGCACGTATTTTATAGTACTTCCTTCAAACAGCATTATTTCAAGGTCAGAATCAGTTACAGCCCAATAAATAAGTAATCTTGATCAATTATGTTATAATTAATAAAGGAACACCTATTATTTTCCAGTTTAACTAAATCAAGGACAGACCAGGAAATAAGTGACCAAATTTTGAAATGCACTGCTATAGATACCATGCAACTCAAACAAGGGAGGAAGATTTTTATGTCCTGCAGCCCAGCAGTGAAAAACTGTCCCATAGCAGCAAGGCCTGCTTGTTTAGTGTTTGCTATTTTAGAAAGTCACCATGAGAAAGTGGCAAATATGTTTGGTGGGTTTGCTTTTTTTTTTCCCCCCAAATTTGGTGTGACAAAACCAGTAAAAATGTGCAGAATCGGTCTAGACCTTGTCACCACTCTGCTTTGGTTTTTCAACACATCATTGGAGCTTGTGAGAATTTGCTAATTATGTGTCCATTCAGTGTTTTGAATAACAACTGTATCTTTGAGATTAACATGCTTATAGATGAAAACCTCATTTTAGGGAAGTTCTTCTTCCTTCATTAAAATTAACCCTGGTCTGAGTTAAAATTCTGAAAACTACCATCTCAGCCCATTTGGGAAGAATCTGCTGGTAACAAAAAGTTTCAGGCTGATAGTTCAAGAAAACTGCTTTACAAATATTTCCCATTTAATTTTCTTTCACTTTGCTTCACCAATAATCCTGGCTGTGATTCAAGAACAACTAATTTAGGGGTTAGCTGTGAAACCTAGATGTATGAATACATAGATCTGTTTATTAAGCCTGCCGGGAAGAATGTAATTCTGAAGACTATTTGTTTTTATTGGAAGCCCAGTAAGTCTACTGGAAGTGAACACCAATTAAGCCTATTTGAGGGTCATGAAATTATAATAATTTTTTTTTAATTATAATAAGGTTCAAGTTTTAAATTGCACTAGTTAAGAGATGAAAAATTCAAAGTCTTTGGTTTTCTCATGATCCACCCAGTATTACCAGACACTGTTTCTTCTTTCCTTTCTTCTTCTTACTTTGAACAGTTATTTCATCTTAGCCATATCTTTTTTGCTGGCAATCTACCTTTCAGTCAACCACATGATTATGTTTATGTCTATGTGTGCTTTATGCAAATTCGTTCATTCAACTGAATCCCAGCATTTGTACAAGTAATGTATCATTATTCTACAGTCCAAAGGACACATCATTTAAGTAACGAGACTGTGTATTAATGGCTTTCCCACAAAACAAAATTTCATGCAGGTTTCTTTTTCAGGGTAGTTGTAATATCTAGAAATTGAGTACGTAGAAACAGCAACTTTTCCTCTGATTAATGAGTGAAATGTAAAACTAAACACCACATTTAAATTTTCACTAAAGGAAGAAAAAGATACTTTGCACTATTAAATTCAACTTTCATTGTAAGTAACTACAAGGGAAGGAATAGATTTTAAACCTAAAATACTGGTCTAATTTTCTTACCGGTAGGGGCTTAGATATTCACCTGTTTTTTAGTTGGGAGGTTATTTTAAATCTAGTTTAGATTGACGCTATCATTTTCAAACTGCTAGTTTCAATTGCATCTGGAAGTCACTTGAAGTCTAGAAGTCCAGGAGGGATAAATGCAGGAAATGGTGTGTAAAATTCTGAAATGAGTAGTAGCCTTTTCTTCCACACACATAGGTATTAATGTCTGCAATGGAAGTTCTTCAATAACTTGTCTCCAGCAGTACATTATGTATACTTCTCTGAAACACACTAAATTGCACTTCCTGAATTGTGGCTATAAATCGAGGCACTGGAGTTCAGTTCTTTTCATCAGAAGTTTGTATCTCAGTGGTTGATAAGATGATGGCTTTCATTAAGCTTAGATTACACCTGTCTGTATTATAATGTCTTTACCTCTTTCCAGAAATATCTTCAATGAAGTCACTTGGAAAAAAAAATCTATCTGTAATACAGACTTTTGGTATTATGGTAGACTGATACAACTATCAAGCTATCAATTTTGAATGTTTATGTTTGTTTATCACAAAGAACTCATAGTCTTTCATGACTGACCTGCACTAAAATAAGGAAAGGTAAACAGTAGTCAGTAAAGTATAATACACTCTTGACAGATCTCAGTGTATACAGTGTTTAGTGTCCTGCTCCAGTTCTGAGATAGGAATCATGAAAAAGATGAATCTTCATTGATACTGAAGTCAAGTCCATTTTTTCTTGAAGAAAATAAAGAAAAAACCCCAGGATCTGAAGATTGGAGATAATATCTACTTTGGAAAATCTCATTTTCCATTGGATAATGCACCCACATTCTGGTTTGTGTTTCTCTTCTAGTATCTTCATAGTTTCTGTTATTGCTCTTTATAGTGTTTTCTTTTTGCAGACTAGTTTCAGTTGTGTTTTCTGAGCTCGGCAACTGCATAGATAAGAATAAGAGCTCACCATCTTATAAGAATTCCATATACAGTGGGAGAAAACATTAGCTTCTTTTGCTCATGGTTCTCAAATACAGTAAATTAATGACCTAGAAATATAGTTTCATTTGTTCTCCTTTACAGCATTTAGTTACAGGTTTATAGGAAAGATTATGTCTACTCTGACTATAGTGTTACTATGGAGACTTCATGGCATTTCTTAAATCTCCATTATTGTAACCCATTACTTCCTCATCACACTAGCAAATACTTGCCAATACAGTCTTCAAAAATATGCAATGAAAATTCAGGTGCCTAACCATACATACATTAGTAATACATGTTAAAATTAAAGGCACTAAAGCTCCAAACTTACTTATCATGTCAATCGTCAGTAATAGTGCATTCTTGGATTATTTGTACATAATGCTTTACTTATGTTAAGTTTTAGGGTTTTTTTCCCAAGTTTCAGGAAATTTTTCAAACATTGCATCATTTCACTTTGTAGAATGGTCTACATCCTTTTCATCTTATCATTCTTCAGGTTCTGGGTTTGGGGTTTTTTTTAAAGATTATTTGCAAGTATTGCTATACCTACTCAACAAAAAGAGCAAAAGTCATTTTACGCAGCTTTTACAACAGAATCCCAAAATACAATGGCTGATTAGGGCATTAGTGTAGGTTGAAAACATAAACCCTATTCTTTATTGGTATTTGTATGAGATGGCCTAGAAATACAGTTTCAAATTACTGTGATACCAGACAAATTGATTGATACATACCAGTGAGAACATCAGTTGCTATCTTTCAGAATATTTAACATGGTTATGTCAAAAACATAAAGAGATTATTTTGGTAACCTTCTCTACTTTAAAACAGCTTCTCCATCTGGCTACAATTTGATTGCATGTTTCAAATATGGCAGTAAATTTTAATATGTTAGTATGAAATGTAAGTGATGCCACAGCTGGTAATGACGAATTCACATAGTTTGACTGTTTAACTTTCATCAGGCTAGATAGTTTACTGCTTTAAGACAGCCTACTTTAGAAACAAAGAAGAATAGTATTTCAATCCTAATGTGAAAACTTCTTTGTTTTAAATTCATAATTCAAAGCTACATTCAGTGTGAGAGTAGTGGCAGTTGCTACTAACTGTAAGCTGAAGTCATGCTTGAACATTTCCCTATCATTTCTTTTGAAGTTTATTCCATCCGAAAATCTTCCAAGTAAGCAAAGAACCTTTATTTGACGAAACTGAGGCAAGACTGCTTTCAAATTAAACTAGTGAGTTTCTAGCAGTTAAAATCTCTCTCCATTATCAATAATACTTCTCTTGTTTTCCTTTTCCATAGTGCAAATTAATATAAGAGGGAGATTTATTCAGAAAGCAAGGAACACGTGCCTTGTTTTTA